CATAGCGAGACCCTGTCTCAAAAAGACAAAAAAAAAAAAAAAAAAAAAAAAAAGAAGAAGTTCTGTTATATTGTGGGATGTATAATGTACCTTGCTTATGTTCTTGTTCTTTTTTTCCCCTCTCCCTCTGGCTGGTGGATTTTCTTTTCTGGGCACGTAGCTGGGGAGGTTTCTAGTGTGCACTGACTGGGAGAGACTGGGCTGTCGGTGAAAGGATCTAATCAGGACCCTGTGTCATAGAGAAGCTAATGAAGAACTGATGTTTTCTCCACTTCAGGCAACTCTGTGTGCACTAATCCAAGAGAAGGAATTTTGTTCAATGGTGTCAACTACTGAGCTTCAGAAGACAACTGGGACTGTAAGGTTCAAACATAAACTGTGGGGCTGCAGCGTAGCTCGTCGGTGGTGTACTGGGCTAGCATCCCAAGGTCCTGGGTTCAGTTCCCAGCAGTGACAGAGAAAAAAAAAGAAATTTAAACTATGGGCTGAGAGTTGTGATTTTACGTTCACACATCCGAGGTCCCTGTCACTCCCGTCTCGCTGCTCTGTGTCGGTGCACGAGCACCCGTGTCAAGGGTGGGGATCTGTGCGAATGGGACATGTCCTCCAGGCCTCAAGCTGCTTCTCGGAGCGCCTTGGTCTGGGTGCCCCTGCGGGCATCAGTGGGTGGGCATAACTGCCACGCAATATGGGATTTTATGTGAAACTTCTCACAGGAACATTCTCAGAAATGCTTGTGACTCAAAAAAGGTTAAGAGCTACTGATCCCTTATGTACTATAAAGTATTAATTATAACAATATTGGGTGAAGAGTAAACCACACTATATTGAATACATTCTTTTTTCCGCTTTTGGATTATGAAAGAAAAACCCCTGTCTCCTCTCTCCTCACAACACTTCCGTCTTCACATGTGTTTTCTTCACACCAGCTGTCCGTGCTTCAGTTCTACTCCATTCTGACACTGTCTGCCCAAGGTTGGCACAGATTCCCCAGGGAAAGGTCTCAGACCCGCAGGACTGCCCCAGGCCAAATGCCAGTGGTAACCACTGGGCCCTCAGGTTGCCCCCACTTCTGCCTGGGGTGCGAAGTCTCAGGCTCCCTGAAGCCGTCCTCAGGCTCAGTCATTTGCTCTAACAGTTCGCGGAGCTCAGGAGAACAGTTTACCTACTACAACAGACTTATTGCTCTAAAGGACAATATTATAACAGTTTAAAGATTTTAATTGGTTTTATTTGCTATTCTGGGATCAGGGAACACTTCATTTTAAAAACTAGAATCAGTGTTCCAGTGGACTGAGCAGAAGAGGTTAGATTTATAAACTGAGGAGGGCTGAAGAAGCAGAAAAAAAGACACAAGCGGGCCCAGGTGCAGCTTGGTGGTAGAGGGTTGCTTAGTTTACTGTTTTGGTGTAAGGACGGAAAACGGGGAACCTCATTCTTGCGATGATTGTAACTGGCCTGTGTGGGGAGCTGGGCTGCTTTTTCTCATCTCTCCTGGTTTCTTGGAGGGTCAGGTAATACCATTTTCATTTTTCATCCCATCTCTTGGGGCCAGGTACAAGAAGTCAGACCAAAACAATGGGCTCTTGCAAATTCTGACAGAACCTTGGGGAAACCTCTATATTTCTTTAAAAATTAGTTCTAATGAGAAAATAAGGTAAAAGAATTGTGTTGGGACAGTGTCTCCTGCCTGAAAATTACAGTCTTCAAAGCTGTGCTCCTCTGTGAAGAGCGGGTTTGTCGGTGACAGAATCACAAGAGCTGAGTGTGAGAGCACAAGAGTGTGAGATCAGCTCAGTGTCGTCGTGAGTAGCCCCGCGTGGCCCCCGTGGGGTTCACTTGTGGATGGGCGTCCTGCCACCAGGCTGGCTCTCGCTGAAGTAGAAGAGCATCTTTAAAGTTCTTAGGTGAATTGGTAAAATAGTCTCGAACAGAAAAAACAAAGCACCAGGAACAGAAAGCAGATGAGTGTGGCCAGGGGTGGGGTGGGGTGGGTGCAGAGGGCCACGGGCATCTCAGAGCGAAGAGGGTGAGCTGAACCTTTGTTCCGGTGCTGGCCGCACATTTGTGTACAGTCTGTGCGCTCACTGCACTGTGTGCTTTAAAAGAGTAAATTCAGTGTCACTAAGTTAGTGCGCTTCACCTTTTGAAGGTCATCTTTCTAAGTTGTCAGTTAGGAGCCATCCAAATCTCTTTTTCTTTTGCTGCTCAAACATAGATGATTCACAAACTGGCGGCAAGAGCTCTAATCCGAGATTTTGAAGACGGCATTCTTCATGAAGATGAAGCCAACCATGAGGTCTGTTCTTTTCTTAGTAAAAACCACTGTGCAGTGTTCTAGATCACTCTTGTTTGTTTGTTTGTTTTTTGAGACAGGGTCTTACTCTGTAGTCCAGGCTGTCCTTAAACCCAAGGGGATTCTCCTGCCTCAGCCTCCCAAGTGCTGGGATTACAGGAGTGTGCCACCAGGCCCAGCTATTCTAGATCACTCTTTTTAAAAAATTCTTTCTTTTTCATTTTTTAATTTAATTTAATTAAAAAAAATTTTTTTTTCTGTCTTTTTTGAGACAGGGTCTCACTGTGCAGTTCAGGCTGGCCTTGAGCTTACTTTGTAGCCGAGGCTGGCCTCAAACTCACAATGATCCTCCTGCCTCAGCCTCCCAGGTGCTGGGGTTGCAGGCATGTGCCACCACACCTGGCTTATTTTTTAATTTTAAAGAGAAAAAAGAAGCATAACAGTGAAACCGAGTTTCAAAACAGGTTAGGAGGACAGTTACAATAGTTGATGTAGTGCATATTGTTCTCTTTGTAGTAGTTATTCAAGTACAAGATATAGGTATGATACCTTGTCCAAACAATATTAGCACAAAACTTTCTTTTCAATAAACTAAGAGACACTAGCTGTATAATTATCTTAACTATCTTGTGTGAACATGTATTTTTTTCTTTCTTCTGTTCCCCTTTCCCCCTTCACCATTTGTCTTTTCTTTTGAACAGTTTCTGCCTAATTCATAGTATCTGTTGTACAAATTGATGTTTTCAAGGAAATGTAAAGTGAGGATAGCTGGATAGAGAGAAATGTGGTATCAGGCATTCATCACCATGCCTGTGACATCCATTTCTGGGGTGTTGGGTACGCAGACTGTTACTATGTGAGTTAATGAAAGAAATAATGTTGGTAGTTTCCTAAAAATTCTTTATTGTTGTTGGTTTTTGTTTTTGTCTTTTTGAGACAGGGTCTCACCATATAGTTCAGGCTGGCCTTGAGCTCACTTTGTAGCCCAGGCTGGCCTGGAATTCGCAGTGATCCTCCTACCCCAGCCTCCCGAGTACTGAGATTACAGGCATGCACTACCCTTAGATTATTTGATATGCTTTTAGATGTAATATCTAAATAGAGGTGAATAAAATAACATATGGTTTCATTTGTTCTATTCTAGATGAAGAAACAAATGATGAAATCTCTGATTATTAAGCTCAGTAAAGAAAACTCTCTTATAACACAATTTACAAGCTTTGTGGCAGTTGAGAAAAGGGTATGTATTATTGTTAATTCAAAGTTAACTCTTTATTTGTGTTTACACATTAAGAAAGTCACTCTTGTTCTGACCCCAGACAAGCCTATGAAGATCAGGGTGGGTAGCAGTCCACAGGCCTCAAGAGCCAATGTTCGCTATCTACAAGTGGCCTCCATGCTAGGATGTACGATAATTTCCACATGAGTTGCGTATGTTAGCTTTTTTTTTTTTTTTTTATGACAGTCTTTATGTAATTCAGGCTGGCCTTGAACTTACTGTGTGGCCCCAGCTGGCATTGAGCCCACAGAAATCCTTCTGTCTTACCTTCCTGAGTGCTTAGCTTCCTGCCTTAGCTTCCTGAGTGGATTAGGGGTATGCACCACCACACCCAGCTAGCATTTTTAATGTTTTAATTATTATTTAGCTACATGTATGTTGTACTCAAGGTTTGCAAAGGAAACAATTTAATACAGGACACATAATTTATAGGGTTATTTTATAGTAATTACCCAAAGAGTTATATACAAAAACAGTGCAAGAAATCTGTCCACACACTAAAGACCAGGTAATCCAGCTGAGGCCATGGATCCTACAGCAATGTCCTGCATGAATCTAGCTGAAGACCTAGAGCCCATGACAATGTCCCACACAAGTCAAGCTGGAGGCCAAGAGCCCACGACAATGTCTCAAGTCTTTTTCATGGATCTGCACTGGGAAGGCCCAGAGGTCAGCAGTGGAAGCTAGAAAGTCTGTGCCAGTGGGATGAAGGATCTGTGCTAGCACGCTGAGGAATCTGCACTGGAAGCACTGCTCAAACTAAGGACCAGAGCTCCCCCGAAAAGTACCACAGCTATCCTCAGCAACAGTGAAGTCCCGAGCTCCTCCAGTGATGAGAACAGCCGAATTCATATCAAGAAAGTCAGCATGACGAGCTTCTCAGGAAATGGAGCAGTGCACCATCTTCCCCTCTGGAGCCAGGAAGCAATGCTCAAAAGTAAGGACCAGAGCTTCCCCAAAGGGAACCACAGCCGTCCTCAGCAACAAGGTCCTGAGTTCTTCTGATACTGAGGACAGCTGTGTTCATATCAGGAAAGCCAGTATGACAAGCTCCTCCAGGAGAACCGCCAGCCGTACAGCAGTACCTCCTGTTCCTCTCTAGTTCTCCTCCATATTTTGTTGGCAACCATCCTCGGGGGCCTTCCACATCCAGCACCGCATTGATTCAGTTCAGCTGGGTGTTACAAGTTGACCACCAGTTGTCAATCCACCACGATACATATTTTAGATATATTCTTGTTTTGTTACATTTTTGGTATTTGTCATTTTTTATTAACCCAGGACCCTCAAAATATAGACCCAGAGGTTCCCCTGTCCACAGGAGACCCCTTCCCATTCATAAATTTGAGCACTTAGCTGTGGGTGAGCATTTCCCAAAGAGTGCTCTGCCCTTTCTTCTTATTTGCATGCCTGTGGCCAGGGAATCATGGTGTGATCTTACACCTGTGTTGGGCAGGTTTCCATCACAGTGACGCAATACCTAAGAGAAACAAAAGAGGAAAAGTTCGTTCTGGCACACAGTTTCCAAGCTTTCTGTCTGTGGCTGCTTGGCCTTCTCGCCCTGGGCCTTGGTGCTGGGGCACTTCCTCCTTCTGTGGTTCCATCGGGGACCCCAGTCCACAGAGTGGTGCTGCCCACGTCCAAGGCAAGTCTCCTTGGTTTGCTGTCCCATTAGCCAGGTCATTTGGAAGCCCTCTCAGATAGACACGGAGGCTTGCTTTCCTAACTCCTTAGGAATCTCAGTGCTGTCAGGTCGGCAGTAGAGATGAACTGTCACAGACCCAGGCACTCCAGACCAGCCTCCAGGAGGCCTTAGAATGTGTGATAATTATCTCATGTATTAATGTCTTGTTCTTTAACCAAGTCTTGATTTAATACAGGATGGCAGTGAGTCACCTTTCTCTAATGCTCCAAATGTTTTGGAATTGGTTGATGACGAAGATGTGGACTTTCTGCCGTACTTGAAGTGGCAGGAGCAGCAAGAGCCGGCCGACACGATACAGGTAAACGTGTTGCTACCAAATGCAGTCATGCACTGCTGATGATGGGGCTGTGTTTGAGAGGTGCTGGCTACCTCTCAGGTGCACCCCGGAGACAGCCTCTCAGTGCAGTCAGGAGACGTGGCAGGCGTGAGCTGGGTGAGGCTACTGCTGGCGGACTGTGCACAGTTAACTTCCAATGGTATTGATCGATGGACTCTTTGATTGTGGATTGAACCCAGGTCATCACACTGAGCCACATCCCCGGCCTTCGTTTTATTTCTTATTTTGAGATAAGGTCTCCTTAAGTCACTGATTTGCACAATCTGGACTTGATGTTTTCGATCCTTCTGCCTCAGCCTCCCAGAGCACTGGGATTACAAGTGTGCCATACCACTCCCAGCTATTTTTTTTATTAAATAGAAGGAGTACAGTCTAAAATAATATAAAAGGGCTAGAGACAACATAACTCAGTGTTAGAGCACTTGCCTGACATGTCTTAGATCTGAGAATCCATCCTCAGTACTGTAAAAAAAAGTAATGATGATAAGAAGTATAGAAAATACATAAACTAGTAGCATAGTGAAGTCAGCCTCTGTGTTGGCCACCTGATGGACTGCTGGTGAGGTCCAGGGCAGGGAAGGGTGTCTGCTCGTTCGTTCACTTTGCTCTGCATTCCCTTCTTCTCAGCCTCTTTCAGCACCCCCTGAATGGAGTGAAGAGCCGCCAAGTAAAGGTCTGACTACAAGAAGACTTAAAAGTTCGGGTAGAAGGAGACTCAGGTTATCTATGCTGGAAGTTTCTGAAGATTTTGAGGAGATGGGTTTGGGTCCTCAAGGGGTGGCACAACCAGTCACACTGGAGCCTCAAAGCGGAGATGTAGAAAACCTGCTGAGTTTGACGCAGATGGACTCATCAGAACAAGAAGAATTTAACATACAGTCAAAGACAGCCAGGTCAAAACAAAAGTCTGCTTTTACCTCTTTCTTTGCTCCTCCTCCACCGCCTACCCCAGGTGCTCCTCCTCCACCGCCTACCCCAGGTGCTCCTCCTCCACCGCCTACTCCAGGTGCCAGCTGCTCTCTTTCCTTCCCTCCTCCCAATGTCCTTCCTCAGAGTTTTGGTTCTCCTGAGCCTCCCAGACAGTTGGGCCTACCAAAGAGCGGCCAGGGCCTTGAGCTTGACACTGGTGCCATATTTTCCCTTCCGAAGCCTCCTGTCTTCCACAGTGGTCGTACTTCCCTGACTGGCTCACTGGGCTCGACGCAGTTTGATCCATGCAAATTTTATTCACACTCTGAAAACAACCTTTTTCCTGTCCCGAATTCTGCGCTGGGCTTTTCCACTCCTCCTACTCCTCCTCCTCTCAACCTCACTGTACGTGCAGAGGCTGATGGGCTGCGTGGTCCCCGTAGTCCCTCTGTTACTCAGAGTTCCCTGTTTGCTCAGAGTGCCCATTCCAGTCTGGCAGATTTGCTTGAAGAGGCATCGTCAGATAGGTTTGACAGAACTGCACCATATTCTCTTCACGAAGATCTTTGGGATGTGCCAAGTTGTGAAAGTTATGTTGAGAGCTGCGTGCCCAAGGCCCTGTGTTTGAGAAGCACAAAAGCAAAAGGGAAAAATATAGAAGGAAGTTCGTTTGGAACAGAAAGTGATGAAACACCAGCAAGTGCTCTGGCATGTAGGTTTCTAAAAGAGAGGAAGAAACGTAAGGTAATGAGTAGCTTCACTTCAAGCTCTCCGCTACAAGATGAGGGTGGCACAGTCCCCCAGCCCAGCGGGAGGAGCTCTGTGCTCTGTGCTGCAGTCTTCAGTCTACAAACTCAGGTATTTGTCATACTTCTGCTTAACTCCGGTCAGGTAGCATCACTGTGTATAGCAGGTTTATCACTCTGATATACATGGGATGGGAAGGCAGAGATTCCCATCCCGTGGGCAAGGTAGGTTTTTTTTTTGTCTTTTTGGGACAGGGTCTCGCTATGCAGTTCAGGCTGGCCTTGAGCTCACTTTGTAGCCCAGGCTGGCCTCAAACTCACAACGATCCTCCTGCGCCAGCCTCCTGAGCACTGGGATTACAGGCGTGTGCCACCACGCCTGGCTAGGGGGAAGGTAGTTTTAAACAACACGTTCAGGGTGTGGCGGCACACACCTATAATCTCAGTGCTCATGTCTCAATCGTATCTCAATAAAGTGTTTTATGAAGCAATCCTGCTGTTTAAAAGTTTAAAAGCTGGGCACAGCAATGCACAACTGTGGTCCCAGCACTGAGGCAGGAGGACTGTCTTGAGGCAAGTTCGAGGACAACATGAACTGCTCTGTCTCAAAAAGCAAAAAAAAAGCA